ACTCAATATATTCATGGACAAATCTTTATTTTATTTTATTAAAAATACTTCACTAAAAAATATGATTTTTTTGTATATGAAAGACTGCTAAATTTGTGAAGATATATACACACTATATTGAAAGTTAGAAGTATTAAATCTATAAAGACTTTATTCGAGTACAAAGAGGTCATGGGGTTGGTCAAATTGACCAAGCCTGTGTTGAGAGAGTTAATTTAAATAGAAACAAATATTAAGCTTGACTATTTTCACCTTACATCAACCTCCTTGTTAATAAAAACAAAATCCCCAATAATTTGACACAGAGCTAAAATATTTCAAGCCATTCACCATTATCTTCAATGCCAACTTGAATAACAAGTACTCATTTCTGAAGCACTAAATTGTACCCTTGATTGCTTCAAAATGACCCTTCTCATAGTTCTTTACTTCCTTGTGAAACTGCAAAACTATCTCCATTTTGTCACTTTTTACAGCAATTTTCAATTTGAAGGTCTCAATTATGGCCAGATTGTAGATTTTCTTAATGATTCTAAGAATAACATTCTTGACCCCATTGTTATTTCCATCTAATGTTAACCTTTAAGTGTTGTCAAATGCATCTACCAACTAGATTCATGCCACCAGTCAAACATACAAGTATACATATTGATGATCTGATTAGTATGTCAAATTATTAAGTACTTGTTTGACAAAATATATTTTATATATATATTTCTTTCCAGACATTTTTTAATTTTTGTTTATTAGATTATTTATTTGCTCTTAATACTCATCTAAGAATAACTAGCTAACCATTGTTAATTTAAACCAACAATACCCAATATTAGATTATGAGTTCACTCATTGTAATTGATGTACTTGATTGTACCGGATTAACCTGTTAAAACTCTGTAACCATAGAAATAATACTCTCTCTTTAACTGGTAATAAACAAGTTTTTCAGAAATATAATATAGTTTTATAGCTAATACAAACAACAAAAATAGCATTGTATTAGCTGTCAAAGGGATGAGAGTAAAGTTGCAACGTTAACCCCTTTGCTGTATATATATATATTTTCAAAACTACTAAAACAGATTTTTATGGTTTTGTGGTAGAATTCTTTGTTTTGTCACATTATATTCATAAATCTTTTAGCAACACAAAATTTACATGCTTCCCCAACATGAACTATTTTGATTTTTATGGGACGATCGGAAGAGAAACCTTTTTATATATATCCCCAAAATTCTGTGAAAGTAGTTTATCCTGTTGAAGATAACTGCAGTCACAAAGCAAATACACCTGTGTGGGGATATACAAAAAGAATTATGATATGCTCCTCCCTCCTTTCACAAAGTTACCTCAATCTTTTTTCTGCCCTATGAGCATTGCTTAAGAATTCTTGTGCTCAGCACACAAGTCTATAAATTACATCAGTTTTGTGCCATTTTTGATCATGTATGTATCATTTGATTACTCTCCACCAATAGTATTGCACCACCTATATTGGCACATTTAGCTCCCTCTGCTATTCCTGCTCAATCCTCACTGTAGCTTCCATTTATGATTGTGCTTATTTGCCATTTTAATTTTTGTTTCAACAGTTTTTTCTTACTGTGTTTGTATTCCATTATTTCAACAGTTTATTTTTTGTATTTGTTCATTACCGAATTATATGAGATTTTCATCTAAATTTGCGATTCAGTGTATCGACTACGGTAGTCCTTTTACAGTCAACAATACTACTGATATGACTTCCTAGGAATCAGTTTTGACTTTATCTGCAGAGGAGGTACAGGCCTTAATTCGCAGGAAGCTAAATTCATATGTTCAGCTGATGATTTCTTCTCCTTTTCAACCTGAAAATGTTGCTGAGAAAAAATACAATCAAGAAGAAGACGATTTAGACTTTCTCTTTTTCCAACACCTCATTTTGGTCAGTCACACTCTACACCTATTCAAAAGATTTCACCTTCCACACCCCTTTTTTAACAGCTGGTTACTGAGGTTGACACATATTCAGTTTTTTCTGTATATTCAAGAAGAGGCTGATTTTGCTAGTTTTTTTTCTCCTGCTCCTGTTGCCATGCTTCCATGTTGTTCACTTTGGTGGAGGTTTGTTGTTCTCTTCCTTTCTTCTTGTTGATTCCAGATCTCCTAGTGGATCAGTGGTAAGTTTTTCGACTTGTACACTTTACACCTTGTTTGTGATACCCGTGGTAGGCATGTCTCAGATGCCTTTTGTGTGGTTTTGCCCTTCTTTACACACGAGAGGATTAAGTATTTCACGAAATCAATGCTCGGACTTTGGTAAGTTAGATATTTGTGTCCTTTGTCGTATAAGTTAATTTAAATTTATTGTAAGTTAGATATTGATTATCACTTTGTTTTCTAGGTAAATTTAGTCAGTTTACATGTTCATTATTATTATGTACTTTGTAAACTAGAGAAATTTCAATGTTTCTTCAGTTCGAAATTAACGAGTACTTTGTCTACTAGGCATGTTTAGATAGTTTATACTTTACATATCATTCCTGCTAGTAACATCTAATTCATCATTCTATCTGAATAAATTTTTTCTTCGTCATTGTTAAATATGTGCCTTATAATCCAAATTTTTATCAGTGTAGGACTTTATTTTTTTGCATTGCTACATTGCTGACATGTTCATTTCTTTACCATTTGTAGAGCTGAGCTTTGCTTCGGCTACATTTCCTACATTCTTGATACTAGAATGCAATATTTTTCCTCATACTCTACAATTCAGAGTTTGTCCCCACAGCACCCACATTGTCGATAGTTATTTATAGCTAGAAGTCAAGTGTTCCAGTTTAGAGCCCTACCATTTGAACTAATCTTAGCTCATTATGTGTTTTGTCAGGTAGTAAGAACTTTTGCCCAACATCTTCATTTGATGGGTCTTCACACTCATCATTACATGGATGACTGACACCTGCTTGCATTCGCAGTCCAGCGACCACACTTGTCTGCTCCTACAAGAAGCAGCATGGGGGGAATTCCTGATAAAGATGGAGAAGTCCATTTTTACCCCCACTCAATACCTTGTTCATTTGTGGTTTTTCTTCAATTCCAACCTCAACTGGGCTCAGCTTTCTCCTCTTCATCTTCAGGATATGGAGTAAGTAGTCCACAAGATCATGTATGTTCCCTTCAGTGGACACTCCTGATCAGTGAAACTTCTGAGATCCCTTGGACTACCCTTTTTACCCTTCCTTCCCAATCAGGGCAAGCTCACAGTGGGGGTTCTGCATCCTCTGCCTCATCCGGATTTACATCTGTTCAAGGATGCATCTTTAGAAGATTGGGGTACTTACATGTGGGAGATTTCTGGTTTCTGATCAATTGAGGAGTCTTCTTTCCACTTTCTTCCTCTTCTACAGGGGAGAGTTGTTATGGTACACTCTGACATCTCCACAGTGGTCACTTACATCACCAAGCAAGGGGGCTACCAAATCCAAGTCTGTGCTTTCAGACCCTGGATCTCCTTTTCTGGGCCCACAGTGACTACATGGTGGTTTCAGCTTGCCATGTTCCTGGTGTCCTGAATCTGGTTATGGATCATTTATCTTGACCCAACAAGATTCTTCCCATGGAGTGGTCCCTTGATCCACAGGTTAATCAATGGGTGTGTTCTCGGCTGGGAAAACCTCATATTGATGCTTTTGCCGCCCACTGGAACACCAAACTTCCTTCCTTTTGGTCTTCTGTTCCACAGACACTAGCCCTGGGAGTAGACACATATAATCAAGATTGGAGGTGTCATCACATCTTTTTGACTCCTCTTCAAAGTTCTATCCCTAATTCAAATCACTCAGTGTTTAGTCCTACTTGTGGTTTCATACTGGCCGGTGCAACCATGGTTCCCTCTGCTCCAACTTTTACTTGTACAACCTCCCCTATCTTTACCTCTTTCTCGTTCTCTTCTCTGTCAACCTTGGTTGGACATTGTTCCTCCAAAAGTCGAAACACTCCATCTTCAGGCATGGCTTTTGTCAGGTTCATTACCTCGGCTCGGGGACTGACTCCACATGTTGCATCTTTCCTTTCCAGATCCATCAGGCCTTCTTCCATGTCCATTTTTCAAAGGCAATGTTCTACCTTCCACCTTTGGTATTTTTGACTTTTGTCTTTGACTTCTATCCTTCCCACACTTCCATTTTTCATCTTTCCTAATTCTTCACCTGCTTGTTTGACAGAGGCTTGTCTGCTTCGACTGTGTATACCTGTCAGGTTGTCTTGTCAAATACCCTCCATTTCTCCAATTTTTGTAAGCTTTGTCTTCCCCTGTCATTTCCCTCCTTTTTTGCTCCTTTCAAATCATGCATCCTTTGATTTGCCTGATTGGGATCTCAGTGTGGTCCTTTATGCCCTTTCCCATCCTCCCTTTGAACCTTTGTCTAAGTGTTCAATGTACCATTTCTCCTTCAAGACCTATTTCCTTCTCCTCCATGTTTGCGGATGTCATCAATCAGATATTTATGCCGTTTACCTTACCCACATCCTGTACCATTGATCTTGTGACATCCTATATCCCAATCGGTCCTTCCTCCTTAAGACCTATGCTGCCTGTGAAGTTGGTTTGGCTTTCACACCCATTTCCTTAACTTCCATCTCCCACCCGTACTCCCATTCTGATCCTGATTGGCTTCTTTGTCCAGTTTGCTTTTTAGGGACTTATGTGGTATGTACTGCCTCCTTTTGAGCTTCACGCTTCCGACTTTTTATTCCCTGAAACCCTTCTGTTTCCCGTGATCTATCCCCTATCACACTAACTGATTGGGTTCATCAACTCATTACGCTGGCATATTTGGACTTATCCATGGAATGTTGCCATCTCCACAGTGTTTCTTCTCTTCAAATTTGTAATATCATCATGTCTTTGGCTGCTCACCTTTGCCATCCTTTGGCAGAGGTCTCTCAGGCTGGAAAGTGGACTACCCCCAATACCTTTGTCACTCATCTGCATGATCTGGCTGTATCTTTCTCAGATGGATATTTTCTACCTCTCATGATGAATCAACACTCGTTCATTTTACTTTGATTGGGATAAGTCTTATCACTTCTCTTCATTTATGCTTTTATTTTCAGCAACCCTCCTTTTTTACCACTGATAATGGGATCCAAATCTGTTGCGGGTGTTGCTTGGTCTGGTATGCTTTGTCTTAAACCTGCACTATTTATGGGTTGCACTGTAAGACACTGTTGAGATGGGGTGTTCCACAAGACCACTAATGGCATACCCAGTGGTGTGTATGTTTATAGATATTGGTAAGTTTCACTCATTGGTGAACCGTCACTCATAGACTTCAGGAGTAAAGCAGAAAGGGATTTCTGCCCATCCTTGCTGACTCTGATTGAATAAATTGGTGTCAGTCTGCTTTTAAAAATAGAGAATCGTGAACATCCATTGCACTTTCTCTGGTATGACATTCCTTCAGACTCCCCAATGCATCCCCCCCCTTTTCTTCCAGATGCGCATGTGAGTTCTTGCCAGTTCCCAGTCACTGGGGTGGTGGACCATGGAGGCCTTCTCCTGAGTGAATTTAGAAATTTAATATACAATACATACTCATGATTATTCACTCACTGTAAAGAGGGTAAAGTTGCTTTCCCTCCTTCCATTTCCCTTGAATGTTTTTCTCTTCCCTGCATTTAAGGTTTAGTGTGTTATGATTTCTTCTCATAACACTGGTTACAGATATTACCCTGTCCTTACGGTTGAGTTGAGGCAATGTCACATAATGCCGGGTTTGGTTTGTAGTACGTCTTGCTCCTACAGTGGTTTTGGGAGTTTGGTTTCAGCCCGAAGTAACTTTCTCTTCTTAATTCCGGTTGCTTGATGTATGACACACTGTTTACTGATGGTTGGGGTTGATGAGTTTATGTAACACGGTCCACATACCCTAGCCACTATGTTTATGTTACAATATTTTTGTTTCTATCTTTTTTGATCATCAACCTCCCAATGCCGAGGGCAAGTTATGGAACCTCTTCTGTCTGGTTGAGTTTGTGTATGTACATAGCTTACTTTGGTTTATATTTTACTATGGATGGCATCTCTCAAAACAAATTGCACTCGTGCACTTCCTTTTTTCCACCCATATTGGATTCATTCCCTACTTCAAGGGGGAAGAGCATACCTGTTCCAAAAGTAGTGTGGTACTCCACAAGTGTGCTTCGTTTTTCTCTCAGAGCACATACATTCATTCTGGGCGGTTGCTTTCTGCTTGGTTTCAATGTTGTGCACCTAAGCTGGTTCCTCCACCTTTACAGTGCGGGATTCCAGCTTTGTGTGAGACAAGAAGTCTGTATCAGAAGCTAACATTTTCTTACACTGAAAATGTATTTCTGATAGGTATTCACCTTTCCTCACACACACACACACACACACACACACACATTTCTCACCCTTCCTACTCATTGCCAGTGTTCTTCTTTTAGAGCCTGCCAATTTTAGAAAGTGTGGACTGAGTGGGAATAGCAGAGGGAGCTACTTGCACCAGTAGAGGTGATGCAATACAATTGGTGTAGAATGCTCACATGATACTTACATGTTCAAAAATGGCATAAAATTAATGGTTTTTATAGATTAGTGTGCTGAGTACGAAATTTTTTAACCATCCTTATAGGGCAGAAAGAAGATCAAGATAGCTTTGTGTGAGTGAGGTAAGTACCAATCAGAAATATGAAGAAAATATGAAAATTTTAACGTTTAGTATATGGCATAGATTCCTTGGCACAATGCACATATACAAACAGATATCATTCTGTAAGGCACAATGCAGTAGAAGAGTAAAAAAAAAGTGCAAAATGTATGGCAATAAAAATAACTTTGTATTAGTTATAGAAAGTATGAAAATTTGTAAAGATGTATCAAAACATTTTAAATTTTTGAAATATTTATGCATTTTTCTGTAATGCACATGAATGTTGGTGTAAGATTAGTCTGGTCATGTTACTAAATGTATTTAATTTTTTATATAGTAAGATATGAGAAACTGAAGAATGATGATGGTTATCTAAAAACAGATGAACTAGATGAAACAAATGTGGTACCAACACAAGGTAATTCTCATGGTTTTAAAAACTGGATAAATTATTAAATCTTCTAAACTTTGATATTTCAACAGTTGCTTTTGAAAAACGATTGTTAGCAGATGAGTTAAGTGAATATTCGTATATCTTTGAAAAGACCAAGAGAACAGCATTTTGTTATAAAGGCTGGTGGAAATCAAAACACTGGGCAGCAAAATTTTATTGATTTGCAACATTTAACAGTTTTCCTATGAGTTCTTAATTTCCTAAGGAATGCTCATGTATCTTTTGTTTCATATATCTTTCATCCAGAAAGACTTATTACTACCATATAAGATAATTATTTTTCTTTGTATCTTTTAGAACTTTTTCATGCAACATATAGGGGAGGTAGGATAATGATATAAAAGTAAGTTGATAGTGCATCTAAGAGAATGCTCAGAAGGTTGTATAAGAAGGGAAAAAACTTGCTAGATGATAAAAATGTGGGAGAATATTCAGTATTGGGTAAAACGGGAAGATGATTCAGTGGGTATAAGACAATATTCTAAATGAAAAATACAATGTTTAACCCTTTCCAAATGGGTCAAAGGTCATGTCATCACGTTTGTTGACTCGCATTCAAAATTTTATTGAAATACTATTTCATGAATTTATGTCAATAAGTTTGGTATCAAATTGTAGATTATAATTCAGATTTTTGCATTATACATTATTCAATTTCTTAAAAGTAAATGTTAAGAAACAGTTAAACATTGATTGTTTTTTGTATGTCACATGGTATGTTGAATGCAGTACTGGTTCAAATTAGATGTTTGTGATGTCAAAATACTAAATCTATAGTTTTGAGCAAATTAGGAACTCAAATTACTGATATTGACAAACTAGAATATGAAATAAGAAACTCGTATCTTTTCTATTTGCCAAGATATTGTCATGTACTGAATCAAACAGTGGCCCCGCTCACGTCTTTCCATTTTTGTAAACAGTCTTTTATATACACTTACTTCAATATATGACCTGTGAATAACCAATTGAAAGCTCAGAATTTCCAACCCCCCACCCCCACCAGTAGCTTTTTCAGCCATTTTCATGTGTTAGGATGCCATCTCATACTTTTGACCCAAGATTTTAGGAAGGTAGGTTGTGTCTTTGGTCTGCTTGAAATTTAATATTTTTTTAGACCCAAATTTAGCTTAGTTACTAAGCTTGATAAATTATTGTGGAATTCTGTGGTATCGATTCAGTAATTTGTGATTTTTTGGTTATTCAACTGTGTGTGTGTGTGTGTGTGTGTGTGTGTATATATATATATATATATATAACTAATTAATTTATTTAATTATAC